CCTCACTTTATCACCCTGGGTAGAGTGCTGTGACATCACAGCTCACAGCAACCTCCAACTCCTGGGCTTAGGCAATTCTCTTGCCTCAGCCTCCTAAGTAGCTGGAACTACAGACACCCACCAGAATGCCTGCCTATTTTTTGTTGCAATTTGGCGGGGGCCAAGTTTGAACCTGCCACCCTCAGTATATGGGGCCAGCATCCTATCCACTGAGCCACAGGTGCCACCCCAGAAATAATATTTTTTTTGAGACAGAGTTCATTCTATCATACTGGCTAGAGAGCCATGGATCATCATACTTCACTGCAAACTTAAACTCCTGGGATAAAGCAATCCCACCTCAGTCTTGCTATGTCTTCTTGACAGGAGTGCAGTGGCATCATAATAGCTCCCTGCAACCTTAAACTCTTGAGTACAACACTACACTTGACTAATTTTTGTATTTTTTGTAGAGATGGGGTCTTCCCTTTGTCTTGCTGGTCTCAAACTCCTGGCCTCAAGCAAGTTTACTCCCCTTTGCCTCCCAAAGTATCAGGATTATAGGCATGAACTATTGCACCTGGCCTGTAGAAGTTCTTTCCATATTCTGGATATAAATCCATTGTAAGATATATAATTTGCAAAAATATCCTTTCATTCTGTATGTTGTCTTTTCATTCATTTGAGTGTTGTTTGGTGCACAAAAGATTTTAATATTTTTTATAGTCTAGCTTATCTATTTTTCTTTGGTCACCTGTACTTTAGATGTCATAGCCAAGAAATCATTGCCAGAAAATAAATAGCTGAAAATGTTAACAAATGGAAAAATATACCATGCTCATGGCTGGGAAGAATCAACATTGTTAAAATGTCCATATTACCCAAAGCAATATATAATTTTAATGCAATCTCTATCAAAGCTCCACTGTCATATTTTAAAGATCTTGAAAAAATTATACTCCATTTTATATGGAATCAGAAAAAACTTTGAATAGCAAAGACATTACTCAGGAATAAAAACAAAGCAGGAGGAATCACGCTACCAGACCTCAGATTATACTGTAAATCAATAGTGATTAAAACAGCATGGTACTGGCACAAAAACAGAGAAGTAGATGTATGGAATGGAATAGAGAGCCAACAGATGAAACCAACTACTTACCAGTACCTGATCTTTGACAAACCAATTAAAAATATTGAGTGGGGAAAAGATTCTCTATTTAACAAATGGTGCTGGGTGAACTGGCTGGCAACCTGTAGAAGACTGAAATTGGACCTACACCTTTCACCACTAAGATAGACTCTCACTGGATTAAAGATTCAAACTTAAGACATGAAACCATAAAAATACTAGAAGAAAGTGTAGGGAAAACACTTGAAGAAA